ATGAATTGCAAATTCACTGTTACCGTTGCACAGTGGCTTTTTAGTTTCTCTTGAAAAAGAATTTTCTTTGTGTTATTTTACTGTTTAAGATAATGATTATAGTTTAAGTTATATTTTTAATACTAAAAATTAATATAAAAAAATATTTCGTATTGTGTATGCAGTACACAATCTGTTTCCTTATTCTTTTTTTAGTTATAGTCTAACTACCAAAAATTTATAAATATTTAATCACTCTACTGGTATTAAAAGCGTAAAATATACTAAAGAGGATGACATTTTCCACACATATTGCTTCAACATCACACCTTACATTAAAAAATGAAAAAGGAAATCGCTACACGTGTACCAACCAAGCGCTTAATAACGTTGTACTGCCGTAATTACAGGCATGCGTAAATTACAAAATAAACATCACAATTTTGCACTGCTCCAGCTTAGTGCTTATTAGTGCTAGGGATATTTTTTATAATGCAGCAATCATATTAGCAAGTTCATTATGAAAGGTGCAATGAAAATAGCGTAGAAAAATACAATTTTAAACACTAAGTACATATTTCTAAATTATGGTGTAGCTTACCGTAGTTTATTATTCTTACAGTTTAAAAAACATGTTTTAAATATAATTGGATTGTATAAATAGCTAGTTATCACCCGTGGCTTGCATGTGTAATGTGTATAGATTATGTCTATGACCTAATAATTGTTATCTATACCATATACATATAATAAAATTCTAACCGAGTCGAATCTGTACATTCAATATTTTTTGGAAAATCTTATAGAAATAGTCATAGCATCAATACAGAGACCGAATCTATAGTTATTAAAAATTTGGTATGATGATAGCTGGTTGGTTATCCGGGTCAACATAAATAGGACATTTTTTACTGCGGGAAAATATATCATCTCTGAGAAATCTATATTAAACGTTAAAACATAACAAGGCTAATATAGTATATATATATTTGTAGTTATGATGGTTTTACCCACGTTTAAGTCTTCGTTTAAGACCAATATCAATTCAAAGAAATATTCAAGCTTTAACATATAAAACCTCTCAATTAGATAGGCACGTTAAAATATTACCTCATATAAAAAAATTTAAACACTTCAGTCATATAACGTATTGAAGACCTAAAGTGTCTAAGATGTATAAGTAAATCATATGTCGCAGAGCGCCAAAGTGGTCGTTAAACGCTCAGGAGATAACACAATACCAAGTATTACTAACCACATGCCCGAGTAACAAATACTAATTACACAATACAAGTCCAAATGTCTTTAGACGCTTAGACGGTAATTGAAGTCGTTGGGACAATAGTTCGACTGGAAAAAATATATTGCAATGAATCTGTGTTTAACAATGCAGTTGTTTTCGTCTACAGAATGAACACTATTTTTGTGTATTTCTAGTTTAGAATAAATTTAACTATCAGACTGACACTATTTACTAACGTACTATGGAATTGATGTGGATTTCTTACAAAAACTCATTTGAAGCCTAATCTTGATAAAAAGAAACTTATTTTTATGCCATCGACTTGATGCAAACCATGTAGGTGTATAAGCGTACGGTTAGCGTATTAGGTAGTAACACCACTAGCTTAGTTAAAAGCTACCAGTTTTCTAATTTTTTGCCAATCTATAAGAGCATCAAATTTTAGCGTTTGGCACTAAATTAGCACTAAATTGGCACTAATTTATGCGTTTATTTTTAAGTGATTCTGCTCATTTTGCCATGCTAGTTTTACATACGTAAGAAAGGGCTTATTTGTCTTATACTAGTATTATGTGATCTGTGCTTATACTATAGTTGAAATGAAAACCAAATGATCTGAAAAAGAGAAAGGCAAGCAATCTGTTTTAGAATAATAGCTACGAGTGTATACTATAACGATATTTTGGAGAATTTCACTGGTCTTCTGGTCTAAACAAAATACCCAATGAGTATCATATTGGTAGGTGTTTTTGAGGATTTATTTGAGCATATAATTTTTCAACGCTATACTAATAACTCTAATCAGTAGAAAATTCCTAGTTAAAATCACATAGAAGCAAAAATTTTAGTTAAAATAACACTTGTTGCAAAATGAAAGCTCTTGCTAATGTTATCGAGAAAAACAGCGAAGCGGCAAATCCGTTTTCGCCACTAACGAACTAGAGAACGTGCACATGAAAATTGATAGTTTGTAATTTTGCACACTTAATTAAAATTGATTCACCTACAAAAACCGTGTGTGTTTCATTAAAGGGAAAATGTATTGAAAATAAAAAAAGAGCAATGAGACAGTGGTGTTCCTTAAGGGCCCTCAATAGATAGGGTCCGGTCAAGACCCTATTGTAAACTCCAAGCCATCCATCTATCAGTTTGACTCTCCTTAAAAGGTAGTTAGTTATGTTGTAAATAAAACTTTCTTTTCGGATATATTCGCGGATGTATTTTGGGAAATCAGGATCCAAAAATCTAAATAAATCCGCGAAAAAATCCTAAAAGATAGTTTTATTTAAAATGTCAAAATATATGTATTGTATGTATTGAACCGGGTAAGTATCCGGCTATACTTTCTACATAAATATATTATTATGCTGTGAATGTAAACGGGGAATTTTCAAGACTAATAGATTTAATGGTTTTAAATTAACAAAAAAGAAGGAAAACAATTTTAAAGTTTACATTTTATGTCTGACGCAATTGTCTGAGATTTTTCTCTGATGTTACCTTTATTTTAACCAAACAGACTCAGGGATTATTACAAAAAGACGTTAGATGTACAGTAGACTATGGCATTTCTCCACACTGCTGATTTTTCTAAAACTTATCGCTTGTAATAAAAATAAAAATTAATTTAATTTGACTTACAAGTTCTATTCATTTCATTAAGTGTGCAACAAATCTCAGTAGATTTTTAACTGAAAAGCTAATAAAAGATTAATATCTTTACAGCTTCCAGCGTTAAGGACCCTCATTAGCGCTAGATCATCAGTTGTCTCATTAAACGCAACCAATTAGTGAAGCCCCGAGCTTAGCAAAGATACTTGACCACTTAAAGTCTTAAAATATATACTCGATCAGTACTAAGAATTATTTATACTTTGCTAAAAAATATAAAATATAATAGGCCATTGTCTGAACATTAAACAATCATATTTCAATTATTGTACGAGAGAACGTACTACTTTCATGATACATAATTAAATTAAAATACTCATTTTCAGTTTTCAAAAGGTATTGTTTTCTACTAGTGACGAGGAGCCTAAAATATTATCGACCAGCGGCTCACACTCGCTTCGCTCGGGTTCGCCACTAGACAAACAAACACTAATCTATGCCTCGGGAACCGTAATTTTTCCCGGGATAAAAAGTTACCTATGTGTTATTCCAGACTATAATCTATCTCTATGCCAAATTTCATCCAGATCTCTTTTGGTGTGAAAGAGTAACAAACACTCTCAGAAACTTTCACATTTATAATATTTATACAGATTTATATAGATTGTACGAGTATGTTACAGCATGGGAAAACTCTACTAACTGATTTAAGGTCAGTACTTTATGCGGATTTAAAGGGCTATATGGTAATAATGTAGAAAGCCTGAGTTGTTTTGATTATTTAGAAAATATATTAATATATCATATTTTGTCTATAGTAATGGACAAGCTATCTTTAGCTTAGCTTATCCCAACAAACAGTCCTTATGCATCGACACGAGCGTGACTCGTCTCCGTTCCGGCGGTACATTAGCGCGAATTATGCCTCGAATTTATTCTAAGGGCCGCTTGAGCCTCAAGTGTGTTGGTTCGCGCTTCCTTGTATTCGTAAATTGGTGGAACAACTTCAACTTTGATGAGTTTACCTTCATTTAATATTTAAGTGATGTATTCATTTTCCCTGTGCTAAAATAATATTTTACAAAAAAAAGCAAATGAACTTTACGTACTTACTAGCGACTCACCGTACGTTTTAACGGCTAGTATGAAATAGATAGACTATCTGTTTCTACGTGAAAAAAGGACAAACACACTAACACACTTTCACATTTATAATATTAGTAAGTCTCGATAAATTACTGTGTATAACTGTCACAACTCAAAACATGCTTTTATTTGTACTATTTAACAAAAAAAAAACCTGCGTAAAGCAGGTGAAAAATCTCACAAAATATGAATCAGATACCGTAAAGAATTTAATATAGCATGAAAAGTAGTACTGTTCGTAGAGAAATAACTAAACTTAAACCTGTGTTTTGAATTAAATAAATATTAGCTTATATATCAGGGATCTACACTAATCAGTAAATGCTGAATTAGTATATAATAATTAGTATTGGATTGGATTGAAAATTGCATATCACGTAACATACAAAGAAAAATAATATGTTGGGTTTCTTAACCGTAGTGCCACTCGTCGCCATTTCATATACTTACGTTCATTCTGTACATTTCAAAAGTTAATTTGGAGAACTGTATTTTTTAAATATGTTATATACCTATTTTAATAGGTATATAAATATCTCGTGTCACGGTGTTTGTGGTCGCACTGTTCCGAAACGGCTCGAACGATTTCAATGTTTCTTTTTTGTGTACTTAGTATTATTTTTCACCCTCCTACCCCCACCCCCCATTTTTAAATTGCCATTTTAGTATTTTTTTATGAACAATATTATATAAATACATAGTATGTATAGCATAGAGCCAAAGAGTTTTTTTTGTAGATTAAACGCGGGCGTAGCCGCGGGTTCTGTTAGTACTTCTATAGTTATATGTATAATAGTATAAGGGGAGAGACCCGGGATTTGAACCCGCTTCACTCGGTTTCCCAAGCGAGCGCGCTACCTCTGGGCTACCACTGCTTTATACTTTTAATACGAGGGGATCAGGCCATAGTCCACCACGCTGGCCAAGTGCGGGTTGGCGGATAATTCTTTATTATATTATTCTAAAACTACTATAGATTCATCTTAAATGTTTAGCTATGATAAATACATCTTTGACTAACCTTTCCGACTCCAGTGGGTTCCTTCACCCCCAACCTCCGTAAAAGCGCAGGTGGCGGAGGCGGGGGTGATCGATGTAACGCAGCACTGAAACCTGATGAAACATCCTCTTCTCTTCTCCTCCGTTCCCTGTGTGGTGACCCATTAGTGCATTTTGTAGTTCTGAAACAAAAAAAGTAATATTTTAAATTTTCATCTATTATTGTGCTTTTCAAAGATAGTTATTTTGAAGTAGATATACAAATTTTGGGTAATTTAACGTTAGAGTTTTAAAACTATCGAGTTCATTTTAAAGCGCTAGATATAAATATGATTAAATAATCTATAGCTTGATGATGCGTGTGGCTCAGTTTGTAGTGACACAACTTGCTGTGCCAGCGGTCGCGCGTATGAGTCCTGCTGGGGGCATTTATTTGTGCGATAAGCACGAATGTTTGTACTCGTCATGGGTGTTTATATTTAAAATATGTACCTATATATTTAAAGTTATATATGTGTAGTGTACCTATTAACTATCTGTTATCCATAATACAGGCCTCGTAGCTTACAATAGAATTAGATGGTGTTGTGTGTTAATGGCCCAACATATTTGTATATATTTATTTATTATTTATAATTAATATTCATAAGGCAATATCAAAAATTGCAAATCACACCGAAACGAGAAAATGAGAAGCGGAGTAAATTAAAACGGAAGTTCATTGAAAACGGAAACCCAGAATATCCTGACATCTCCAACCCCTCAAGAATTCGAAGTAGAAATAAATGGACACTACGTGACGTCCCGGGTGACCTTTTTTACATTTTTCAAAAATTCGACTCGCGTCAATACCGCGGCATAAAAGCCTGCTCTGATGGATGGTTTTTACGTGACTCCTGGCGACGATCTGTATTTTATTTTAATGTTCCTGCCGATGCGCTATGCCAGCTTAAAATTGAAAATTCTCTCAGCATATTGGAATAGTGGCGTATAGACTATCCATGGAGCAATATCATTTTGAATCTCAAACACTTACGTTATCAGAATACGTTGTCAAACACTGTATATGAAGTGCATAGTCTTCCTGTATTCAATTTCGAAATTGAATATTGGAAAGTAAAAATATTGTTAAAATCCTAAAAAAACTTGGTAAAATGGTGTGAATGAATTTAAATACACATAGGTTTAGATAACACTACACTGTTAAATTTTTATTACATTGATTTTTATGACATAGTCTTTCTCTATAAACGGGCTATCTTATGCAAAAATATATTTTCAAATCGGATCAGTAGTTCCTGAGATTAGCGCGTTCAAACAAACAAACAAGTTCTACCTCTTTATAATATTAGTATAGAAAACCTAAAAAAAGAACAAAATATTTATACATAATATAAATAGTAAAGTGAGTGACTATTTCGAAATCACTCGAAAATTAGTAATAACTGTGACATAACCGAAGTTATTCAACAATGGGTAAACACCATATCGTAGCGTGTGACGTTCGCGTGACTTACTCAGTTTATTGTGTTTAGGACTATTAACATTCTTATAGGGGAATATTTAGATAACTCTCGACTTGGTGGCAGAAAGGCCCTTCGTGTATCGTATGTGATAAAGTCCTGGCCTTATTGATTTACTCCTTATTGACAGGTTAGTTGAGAGGTTATTATATACTCGTAGAGTGAAGGACGAGATTACATTGCTTGCAATAAAATTAAAATATGTGTTTAGTGTAAGAGCTAATATAAAATTTATTTCATTTTCTGCGTAATCGTAGTAAAGTTTTAAGAGATGATAAACAATCTTAATTAAAAGGTGAAAAGAAAATATATTGTTTAATTTTATTTTTGAAGACCTGCTTATTGTTGTACATTTAGTGTTGAAAGTTCGAAAAAGTTTTTTTTATGTTATGCAAGCCTCTTAAAAATCTACCTATTTTTAAAGAGATATATCTATTTTAATACAATCATTTTCTATTGCGTATGGTTCTATTTTGAGCGATTTGTTTTTTAATAAAAAGCGCAATTAAAATTTGTACAGCCATTTTAAAGTTGTGAGTGTATTATATAAATTCAGTCCTTTTAAAGTCATAGTCCAACACTTTCATTTTCCAGGACTTGCTATGTTCTTTAAGACTGGCAGGTTTTTTTTAACGTATTCACACGTAAACCTTAGGGGCTTACGTTGTTATATACTTATATAAATTATTATCAATTATTTTCCTTTCTCATTGAAAATAAAACATGTTATATCAGGCGCATAAACATATTTTTTTTATAAAAAGTCGTGATGAGGACTGCCGACAGAAGTGAAAACTTAAAACTATAAACAAACAGTTGTTATTTTTGGATATTTAAATTAATTGTTTGATCTTAAATTAAAATTTATAAATTAAAACTGTTTACATTTATCACGAGATCATGTCGATGACGACTTACATGTATTTACTCCCCATTCAAACCTGCCTATAGAAGTTTGCACTTAAATTCATTTCCGTATTGTGCGTTCAAATATACTAAAACTATACAGTTTTGATGTTAGAATAGTTGTATGGTAATTAAAAGGTTTTTGTTTGTACTATTACATGAATGTTGTTAGTTAATTGAATAAAATATGAATGAAATTTTTTTTCCATACAACGATAGCGTGCGCTTTTAGCATTATATCCATTAGCAGTAATATTTCACTTATTACATACGCTTTCACTTTGAGGAAAATAAATTTCGAGTTAACATTTAAGTACTGATTAGGGCCTAATGGGATCGTTACTTTGATTTGCTGCAATGAAACAACGACAAAAACTAATTTGATATTGTTCATAATTTTGCTATTTAATTTTTGTACGAAATTTAATTGTGAGTCGTCATGATTTTTTGAATATTATACATTTTTATGTTATTTAGTGTTTATGATATCAGTGGTAATGAATTTTTTAAGTCGATTTTTTTTAATATTAATTTTATTTTAATTTAAGTAGCTAATGTTGCTTATTGCACTTAGTAATTGATTAGAACTGTTTATTTATAGCCAATTAAGTTTCATTAATGCCTTTTTAACATGATTTCTTTTGCTTTTTCGGTAGTTTATAAGTCAATTTATGAGTAAAATTGTTTTAATCGTTTATTTAATACTAGTGACTCAGCCTTGCTTTGCTTGTGTTCGTCCCTAGGTTGCTTCCCCATACAAACTTTCATCCCCATTTTCACCCCCTTACGGGATGATTTCCGGGATAAAAATGTCCTTCCTAGGGTCTTAAACTATTTTCTTACCAAATTTTTATCTAAATCGGTTCAGTAGTTTCGGAGCTTATTCGGTACAAGCAAACAAATAAAAAAATCTCTCCTCTTTATGAAATTAGTATAAAATATAAATAATTGTTGAGCCTCTGAATTTCCTCTAAGTTTCAAAATATATTTAAGTTATATATGTGTAGTGTACCGACTATCTGGTATCCATAGCATAAGCCTCGTAGCTTACTATGAAACTAGATGGTGCTATGTGTTAATGTCCCAACATATAAATATTATATTTATCCATTAAAATATCAATGAATATCAATTTCCGACTCTAAAACTATATAATTACGAAATATTACTATTAGATTCGTAAATACAAGTAGTGAACAATGACCCGGACTAACTTGTTAATTTGACATACGATAGATAGGCCCTTCGAGAAATCGACTGAAAAGCTAGCACCGGGGCTATGTCGGTTATTTAGTCACAGTTGTTCTGAAGCTATCATTTTCTATCAATCCTATATTCCTAGTATTTATTTAGACACTGTTCGAAGAAAAGATGTTGTACTATACAAATAATCTATATTTAAAATAAAACTATCTTTTCGGAATTTTTCGCGAATTTATTTTGATTATTGATTTCCGACGTTTCGAATGCTTTACAGCAATTATGGTCACGGTAGAGACTGAGGTGTTAGATGTCTCTAAAGTATTATACAATTGTTACAGACAGTCTACCTACAAATAACAAAATGAATTCCTAAAATTGAAAAATGGCACCAAAGTACCTTACAATATTTTTTAAATTTAAACTTTAAACGTTTTTATATAATTTTAATTAGTTTTATAATTGAATATGGAATATTATTTATTTAATTTGAGATGTTATTATTATAATTATTACAATTTTAAAAATATTAATTAGTTATCTATATTTTTAGTGTTGCCATTATTATATTTATAACCATAAAGAAAAATCATAAAATATTAATTATTTAAGCCACATATATTGATCTATGTGTAATTTGAAAAAGTAAAAATTAATTAAAAATAATAATTTTAATTTAAATTTGCTATTATTTAAAAACAAATTATTAAGCAACACATTACTACATACATTTACAAATGAAAAAATCCGAAAAGAAAGTTTTATTTAAAATGTCAAATATTCGCGTAAATCTAAGAAAGTATTATCTATATTTGTTAATATTAATTATAAAATTATTAATAATTAATTTGCTATATGCAGTTGCTATGGTATATATTTTATATATCTAAAAAATAATTTATGTTTATCTATTTGTAACGTACCTGTATATTTTTAAAATATTCAACCAAAAAGGTTTCTGACATAGTACCATCAACGTACGACAAGTGAGAGTTGTATGTACAGTAATTTGAGATTTATTAGTTACTAGCAGAAACCGCGGCTTCGCTCGCACTAAAACTATAAAAAAAACTAAAAAAGTAGATTGCATACAAACTTTCGTCCCCTATTTTACCCCTCTTATGGGATAAATTTCGAAAAATGTTAAAACACGTATTTTTTTATTCTTAGCCTATGTCACTCTCCAGCCCTCCAACTATCTCCACACAAAAATCTCGCCAATCCGTTACTCCATTTTGGCGTGAAAGAAGGACAAACAAATAAACACACTTTCATATTTATAATATTAAGTATGGAAGTATGGATTCTTGCTGCACCTAAGCAAAGTCAGGGCCGATTGTTAGTAATTAATATAAGTTATCTTATACGTCTTGAATTGATATTACAATCAAATTTCTCCAACAACAGGTGGTTGTGGTATTTTCAGATATGTAATGTATCTGTATGTGTAAGGTCTTCATGTAATGTGTATTACATATGTATTAGTCTTTCACCTTTGTAGGCTTCTTAAAATTCATAACTACTTTAAATTTGGTTCAGAAAATTGGTCAAAT